TTTTTTATTTTTATTTTTTGGCCAGGCCATGTATATTGTGTCAACATTTGGTGCAGTAATAGTTGAGTGTCATTCACTCAACATACTGGCTGTGTCCCAATTCAGGGGCTGCGGCCTACCCAGAGTGCAGCCCATGGAGGCCGCAACCTTTGCAGTTCATGTAGGCTGCATAAAACGTCTGTAAAATGGGACGGTCATTCGGATGATGTTTTATTCCATGACTACGCACCGCCTCGTTACCATGATGATACATTTTATATCACATACCTTCAGATTTAAAATGTGTTGGGACATGAATTCACATGTCTTTTCAGTGGAGGAATAACTTCACAAATAAAAACATTACACATTGCTGGTTCAATCCCCTGTTCCATACGTTTCAGTTGTTGTGTCCTAAGACACTTCACCTGCCTTGCCTGCTGGTGGTGGTCAGAGGGCCCGGTGGCATCAGTGTGTGGCATCCTCGCCTTTGTCAGCCGTGGCTACAGTGTAGCTTACCACCATCAGTGTATGAATGTGTGTAATGAATGGGTGAATGATTAAAGTGTAAAGCACTTTGGAGTCCGTAGGGTCTATTTAAGTTCAAGCCATTTTTGTCTCAAAAATTTCACCAGCTAAGTTGCCAAACATACATTTAAAAACCAATTCTTTGGTCCGTGATGAATTTCCAAACTACGCCAACTTGGAACAAAAAAAATACTCATCTTCATTTGCCAACAGGGCAATACATCCTGTGATATCCTCAGATGCAGCCTTCATTTTTGAATTGGGACAGCCTTTGTTACGTAGCAGAGACGTAACCAGACATAAAATGTGGACTACAGAGAGCGCAGCCCCTGAACTGAGACACAGTCTCTGTGTTTTAAGTGATACATCATGCAATAATATGTAACCTTTTTAGGGTTTGAGCAAATTGACTACAACTCTGTCATTTCTCATCATAAAATGATTTTAGTCTAAATCTCCAAACGCTGGCAGATGTATTCTTTCAAAGAATGCTTTAACTCTAAGTGGTTTGCACATTTTAGAAAACAAGATCTCTTAAGTTACTTTGAGCTAACCATTTACTAATTTGTCGAAACATTAGAGCCATGTCTTGGTTTGCTGTTACAAAGGAGACTTCATACATTATTAGTGATGACATCAGAGTCCGTCAACAGTAGATAAGAGGTCTGATTATGAGGATGTGGCCTGAGTTCCTCTTCTTTTATCCTTTTTGTTATAACCCTCATGGAAATTTGAACTGTACTGGACTACAAGGTTTAATTAGGAGTAGTTACTGCGGCAGGCAAATGTTTATAAAAAAAAAAAAGAAGATGTGGAGAATGAAAAAATGGAAGTCTGTGCTTTAAAGTATTGAAAGGCAAAAGAGGGAATGCTTGAGGGAAATGATAAGCAAACAACAAGCGGACTACGAATGGGAATACACAGACGGGAGGTCTGAAACGGCATAAGGAGAGGATGAAGGAATGCAAAAAAAACGTGGAAGAAATGCAGATTTGCAAACACAATCGGACAACGGGGGGAGAGAGAGAGAGAGAGAGAGAGAGAGAGAGAGAGAGAGAGAGGGTGAGTTCTGAGAAGCTGCAGATTGAACTGCAAATCACAGTCAACCAAGAAATGATTCCCGGACCACGGAGAGCCTGTTGCCATGGAAACGTCATCATTGCGAGCGCTGCTTTAATCTGTGGAAGCTTGTTAAGTTTACATGAGGCTTAGGCAAGCCACCTTATGCTTCTGCACTCACAACACGAGGCTGTGCCAGGATCGTCGCCGCTCGCCGCAAACAAGATGTCCTCACCAGTCTTTTTGTTACTAGAAGGCAGGATAGTTTTAAATGATCTTTCACTTCTTTGGCAACAGTACCCCAACACCCAACCCCCTACAGGAGTTGCCTCTAATTGTATCAACTTGCGAGACAGAGAAGTGGCAACCTGATTCTGATGGATTAGTCGGGAGTGAAAAATCAAACTGCGCAGGAGCAGGGTGTGATCTTTGGGTTAAAGGGGCAACCCGAGTGCACGTCTCCACCGCTGACTGTCTAATTGGACGAGGAGTCTGCTCTGAGGCTTTCACGTCCCGCAGCAGAGCCAGTCAGTCTTCACAAGCAACCCCGTCCTGACAGTGTGGGTCACATTGTTTAGGATTGGATTTGCTTCTCAAATCAGATATCTGTTGGTTCGCTCCAGTCATCCTGCAGAATCAGCAGCATTAACAGTATTCGCAGAGGGATGAGAGAGGGGATGATAAGCCTGCCTGCTTAATGATAATAGCGCCACAAGGCTGCATGGAATGAGAGCAGACGAATCGAAGCATGATTTACAAGTGAAGCCTGCAGAAAAGGCATATTTCTATTTGCTGCCATGACAGATTGTGTAGAAAGTGAATAGAAAAGTTAGAAAGAATGGAGAGGTTAGACTCCAGGAGGCCTGCTTGGACCAGATATCTGAGACACATGAGTGTTTAGAGGTGCTGAAACCCAGTCCGGCATTAGCTGTGAGAAGAGAGTGTGATAAATGGGGCCAGCGTAAGCCAGACGCTAAGGCTTTAACCTAGACTGGGAGAAGCTATCATCAGCTAAAGTGTAGTATTGAATATAGATAAACAAATAAAAGAAAATGACCTGTAAGGAGAAACAGGAGCACATCCCTCAGAGAACAAATTGACTGTTTATTGAATGGAGTAGGGTTACGTTAAGACTAGGTTTACATCTCATTAATAAATTTAACAATGTCTGCATGTGTGTGTATCTCATTAGTGCTTTTTCTTTTCTCGCTCCCATCAGCAAAATCGGAAGATGGCCATGTTTAGAAAGTTCAAAGCTGATTTTAAAATTACATAAATTACAACAAGTGCTACCTGAGAGGTCCTAAGTTCCCCCCGCAGTGATGTCTTCTACTGAAAACAACTCAAGCAGGGCCGGTTCGTAGCATGTCCATCTAGGGAGCGTCACAAATGAGAGATGAAAAAAAAACTTTTTAACTTTTTGTCAGAGACTTGATTAGGTCTTTAGAATAATCACTGGTTACTCAGGTTTATGAAAGTGACTTGTTCTGTGGGTTTCTCAGTCTGCTTTGTTACTTCATGAGGTGTTCTGGTGCAGAGGATATTCTGTGATAAAACTATCATATGATGCATTCAAGACTACTGGTGCTCAGTGGTTTTCAGTAGAAAACCAAAGATAATGGAAGTCTCAGTTACGGTTTCAGATAAAGTTCAGGTTAAAGTTTGGTCTTCATCGTTCTCCCTTCATAAAATGCTGATTTAATGTTGTTTTATTAATCCCAAGAAATTAATACGATGCTCTTCAAATGGCTGTAAAATGTAGAGATTTGAGTAGATCAGGGATCTCCAACCGGTAGCTCGTGAGCTCATTTAAAGTAGCTCTTCACTGCTTATGAAAATTTAAGAGTAGCAAAATTTAATTTGTCCCTGGTCAAACAAACTTTCATTTATGTCCTATCAATCCATAGATGTCCCTCCCCCATGGCTGTCAATCAAACAATCTAGCACTTAGTATGGTCGAACGGACAACGCATGGTTTTTCAGCGTTCATTTTTGCACACGTTTCACAGCTTGAAACACACCGTGCGAGCTCCTGGGAAGCCCCTCCCACTGCAGCATGTGTCACTGCATGGGGTTTTCTTCCCGCTGGAGTCTACGATGTGGAAAAAAAATGTCAGAGACCCGTCAACCGACGCTATTTGTGCCAAAAGTAGCTCTTGTACAGTTTCATTTTCTTAAAGTAGCTCTTAAGGGGGAAAAAAAAGGTTGGAGACCCCTGGAGTAGATCTTTTACCAAGTTTTCTGGGGGAGTACATCTCTGGACCCACCTAGAACTGCTTCACTCCACAGTTACTCATTAACATGAACTGGTGTTCCTCGTTGCTGTCATCAAATGTTGGTTGTTATGAGGTAGACTTCTGGTATTTTGTTTCAAATGAATTAACTGTTTCAGTTGGATTTAATTTCTAAAGATAAAAAAATAATATCAAAGACAAAACCTTTTAAATACGAATGTGAATGTTTGTATATTGGCAGTGAGATTTAAAAAGTCATTATTCAATGATTGTTCTACAGACAAAATCAGCTATACTCTACTAAAAAATTATATTTTTTGTCCCCCATTTGTGACACCCCCAGAAGGACAGCACTCTCAGCATTTGCTCACGCTGACTATGCCATGGGTTGGACTTCAAGATTTGCTCGATTTTCCACAGTGGATAAAAAAAATCATATTGTGACTGTTGCAGGGTAAAAAATTTAAACAAGATTTTATCCTCTGGAAACAGAAATGCTGGCATGACGGCTCAGTGGTTGGCACCTTCGCCACACAGCAAGAAGGTCCTGGGTTCAATCCCCGGTTCGGACTTGAGATCATTTTGTGCGAAATTTGCATGTTCTCCTCGTGCTTTCTCCGGGTACTCCAGTTTCCCCCACCCCTAAAAACATGTACAATAGGTTGTCTTCAGGCCCAGGCCTCCCTTGAAAAAGATCTGAGATCTCAAAGGGACTTATCTGGTTAAATAATGGTAAATAAATAATCTTTGTTCCTACTGTCTGCAGCATGAAAGTCTTAGTTCTGCTCAACTCAAAACATTAACATGCAGAACAGGCACGTCTCTAATTATTCTAAGTATGATTATACAAAAACAAAACACTTCAAAAACATTCTAATCTGCATCATTTTATGCGACATGCTTTTAGTGTTTGTGTAGATACTGAGATATTGGTTTGCTCCCTAATATATAACAAAATGTTTCTTAGTTTATATTCATAACATGCACAAGAGCAACAGTTTTGCACTGCGGTAATAATTCAGACCAACTCTCAGGGTTACGCAGAGAAAGTCGAGTAGAGCCATGTGGGGTTTAAGACGCAGAGTGAAACTGAAATTATTGGCAGAGAAATGTAAAAAATTATTTATTAGTTATATTTTTTTAAGTGGGAATGTTACACAGCTAACATTCGGTGCTTTTTATTTATTTATTTTTATCCAGATGTAGATACCACCAAGGATCCTTGTCAAAAGGTGAAGTGCAGCCGACACAAGGTGTGTATCGCCCAGGGCTATCAGAGAGCCGTGTGCGTCAACCGCAAGAAGCTTGAACACAGGTGAGTAAGAACTGACTAATTCCCCCCAAACCCAGGAAGTCCCAGTCTAACACGCTGACACCAGGTCAGCACAGCTAGTTCATGCTGGTATGTGAGAGCCAGAATAAGGAAGCTTGTTTGTGCATCCAAGTGCTTTGACGTCCTGCTGTTTAATGACAAGCTAATGCATTCAGACAACATGGAGGAGACTGTTTGCGTCATGCTCTCGTGCTCGGTTGCTGGAGCTGCGGCGTCTGAATCATCGCAGCGGTGGCTGTCTCAGCTGGACATAATGAGACTGAAGTGTTTGCATGTTCCCTGTCCAACAGACTGAAGCAGCCCAATCTCCGCTCCCCTAATGGAAACTGTCAGCCCTGTCCCGTCTCCTCCACCGGGCCTGTGTGTGGATCGGACGGACACAACTACGCCTCGAAGGTACAATGAGAACAAGTTATAGAGTTGTTTCGCACAGGTACAACGCTGTTTTCACTGAAGCTTGTGAAGAACAGTGAAAAATAAATGGGGGACAGAATTTTTAAAGAATAAATCTTTTGGTCAATGTTTTCTTGACAAATTAGTGCTGTTGTGATTGTTGGAAGGAAAACTATGTACACTGATTCAACGTCATCTATAGACTGGTGGTTACGGAGTGTAACACATAGCTACAACACATCAAAGCTTTCACCTTCTGCACTCAGAGCAGAGCAACGTGAGCAGAGCCTCGTGGGAAAACAGTGTGACAAAGAACCATGATTTCTTGCCTCGCAGGGACCAATTGGTGGCTTGTGGTGACAGAGCTCTATGTGTCTATTGATTAATGCTTTCTCTTTTTGGATCTTTATTCCCGACCTTGTGTGCGAGCAGAGGTTGGACGATGCATTTAGGAGCAAGTCTCCGATTTGAATCGCAGCTTACAGTCAGTCGCCTCATGAATATTTGATCTGTGTTGCAGCAATAACTCATTTTAGTTCACCTTTGTGTCCCCTTGTCGATGTTGCTGGCACGTGTGTGTGTGTTTTGTGTGTCAATGAATGTGTTTATGTGTGTGTGTGTGTTTCAGTGCAAGCTGGAGCAGCAGGCATGTCTTACAGGGAAAGAGCTCACCCTGAAGTGTTCAGGTCTGTGTCCTTGTCCAACTGCAGCTCCGGCGTCCAGGGAGCCGAAAAGTGGTGAGATCGAAATCTGTAACAAATACAAAATAAACCAAAATGGGAAATGGAATTTTCTGTGAAAATACGGCTTGAATGCTGAGCGCTGAAGGACTTGTTTCAAATTAGCAGAAGCAAAGCCAAACATAGGAAAGTTTAGCTGAAAGCTGAAAGAAGCCTAAATCTAGCTAGAAGCTAAAATGAGTAAATTGCTAGGTAAAAACATACCAAAGGGCTACCTAAAAACTAAAAATAGCAAAACAAGTTAAAAGTACCTAAAGTTTATTTAAAAGCTAAAAGTAATACACCAGCTAAAATCTGAGAGTTGCAAATGATCAATTTAAAGTCAAAAGTAGCTGTATGCTAGTTAGAAGCTAAAATTAGTATAGAATTACAAAAAAAAACTAAAAGTACCAAAAGGCTCATTAAAAACTAAAGGAACAAAAAGGCTAGTTAAAAACTAAACATAGCAAAACGAGAGCTAAATGTGGCAAAAATGCTAATCTAAAGCTAAAAGTAGCAATATGCCAGCTAAAACTTAAATATCACAACAAAAATCTAAAAGTATCAAAAGGCTTGTTAAAAGTCTAAATTAGCAAAAGGCTAACTAAAAACTAAAAATAGCAAAACAAGAGCTAAAAGTAGGTAAAGGCTAATTTTAAACAAAAAGTCGCAAAACGCTATTTAGAAGCTAAAAGTAACAAAAGACTAGTTACAAAAAGCTAATGAACAGCTAAAAGTCGCAATACAATAGCTACGAGCTAAATTTAGCAAAAGATGACTAAAACAGAGCAAATGTGCCCAATTTCATTTCAAAGAGAAGTATTTTTGAAGGAATAAAGAGATCTCAATATATTTCATAGGATAAATAATTGTAAAAACTGTCATATTTTTGAAAAGTATAAAAGTTACATAAACAGCCATAGCACCTATCTCTTGGATGAGGTGAGCATTTTGATACATGAATCCTAATATAGCACAAAATAGGCATAAGTCGTTAGATTACAAAGAACCTAGGCGGAAAAGCTAATCAAAAAGCAGTTAAACCATCACACCTGCCTCGTAGCTCACCTATCATAACCACGTAAACAACTGATACAAACATCATCTGCAGTTTTGGTCTCCCTGGCTTCCACAGAGAGCTGCACTGGCCAAGATCTGTCAGATCTCGGCGAGCGTCTGAGGGACTGGTTCCAGCTTCTGCAGACCAATGCCAAGCAGAACAACAACAGCAAGCCCGGGGCCAGAACCGCTGCAGCCAGCACTCCATCAGGTTAAAGCTTTTATCCAATCACTCCCAGTGGTTACAAGGAGGGCACACTGTACTTACACAAACACACTCTGAGAGTGTGTTTCATTTCACATACTGTTGTCTGGTTCAAGAGTCTGTTCTTACAATGTCGTTAAAAAACCAAAACAATTTAAGATAAATAAAAATCAATCAAGTTAACAAGGCATTATACATTACACTTCTGTTAAAAGTCTCATTATAATCTACTAAAGTCTACCGAAAAATGTTTTTAAATTAGAACCTGAGTGACATAATTAACCAAGACGTTTAAAAAATATATCCTCCCACTGGACTATTTTGTTTTTCATTTACTGCAAAGAGTGTTTAAATCAGCTGGGACTCTGCCGGAAAGAATAAGGCTGAAACTGTCTTTCTTGTTTTAAAAAAAACAGGCCACATCTCCAGCACACTAAACACCAGATTAAATGTCACGTCTACTCGTGTTTTAACAATGTGACAGTGGTATTAATAAGCTCATGAATTTACATATATACAAGTTTTTACCCTTCTTCCTGCTGTAAGACTTGGATTTCTCATCCTCTTTCTGATTTACAAAGACACGTTCAAAATTAAAAACTAGGGGAGTAATGAAACATGCAATTGTTCCAAAATGTCACAAAAAATAAACTTTTGGACAAACATTGGTTGTAGGTGATCACCGTACCTGTCTAGAAGCAGGGTTTTTTTTTATTTACCTGCTGTTTTTGAACAGCAATGATAAAAAAAGAAGAAAGTAAGAAACTATTTAAATATTCTACATCAAACAAAACATGAATGGCTGGTCCAGAATAAAACAAACGTGTCCGTTTTAAATCAGCCGTGTAGTGAAGTGTTCTTGGTGTGGTCTATGGCAGCAGTGAAGCAAAAGACAACAAGATGGCAAGCAGTTATGTCATAAAATGTATGCTTTAAATAGGCTATGGCAGGCTATTTGTGTATTTATCCAATATAAATAATATAAAGAGAGTCATTTTCTCGCATTTGTCCTCACTTGCTTAGCATAGTTGTGAGTGTTCCATATTAGGTTTATTTTGTGTCAGGATAAAATGCCAAGAATTAAATGAAAAATAAAAACAGTTGATCAGAATTAATTATGGTGGTATTTAAATTGCTAAATATGTAAATAGATAATATTTGATGGTTTTAGCCAAAGTGACAAAAACAACATCAGATAAAGCTTGTTGATGTATGCAGGACTGCTGCCATGATTTTAGTCTTTCTTTGTGCAGCTGTCGGCTGAGATAAATACACGTTTGTTTGTGTTGGCAGTGCTGGACAGGAGCCTGGTCGCCAGCTGCAAGGACTCCATCGGCTGGATGTTTTCCAAGCTAGACACCAACAATGACCTGTACCTCGATCAGGCCGAGCTGGCTGCCATCAACCTGGACAAGTATGAGGTCTGCATTCGGCCTTTTTTTAACTCCTGCGACTCCTACAGAGACAGCAAGGTGTCCACTGCTGAATGGTGCCTCTGCTTCTGGAGAGAGAGTGAGTTCTCTAAGTGTTTGTGTCCGGTTAGTTTTGGACTAGCGCTGTCAAAATAACTGACACTTTTAATCCATAAAGGTATAAACTATTAAAGCCAAACAATTTAGATTCTTTAATTTTTTCTCTTCTCTGTTTAGAACCGCCTTGCCTGGCTGAACTTGAGAGGATTCAAGTCCTGGATGGTGGCAAGAGAAAGTTTGGTGCGTATTTGACGATTTGACTCGGTAAGAGTTCGTCTACCCGTTCTGATGTGTCGTTCTTGGCTGAGAGTTTTGTCGAGTAGCTGACAAGAAGGAGGTGGGGATTAGTCCTTGAGTGGATTATAACACGCTGCTGACAGACGGCAAAGAAAAAATCAGCCATCCGTCTGTCCTAAATGTATGTGGAAGAGGGTGAATGAGTGAATGTGAAGATCTGTGTGTGTGTGTGTGTGTGTGTGCGTGTGTGCGTGCGTGCGTGCATGTGTGTGTGTGTACTCCAGATTTTGGTTGGCTGACTGTGCTCTGAGTCAGGACTCTTCAAGGACAGAGTGATGAGCATCGGCGCCGTCTGCCCCTGAAGGAGTAGAAAAACATTTGTTTTTGATTCTTATTTGATTTTGTTATTATTGGCCCAAATGCTGTGAAACAATAGAAGGCCCTATTGTCATTGACATGATTATTATTATTTTTTATTTATTTATTCTGCCGACAGGAGTCTTTTTCTCCTAAGATCTAGTGGGCTGAGCTTCACGAAACTTGGCAGTTATTTAGAACTAGCCTAAGTAAGGGGAGGCACAAAAAACCTCGCTAGTCTAATCTTGCTTAAAGCCCCGCTGACTCCTTTACCGTACGCTTGCGAGATTTGGTACGTAGGTGCACCAGGTCAGGTCCTACAAAAAAGTCTCTTGGCACATTATTGTAAAATCTACAAGAAATCTGACATTTTGAAGGAAATGGCAAACGTATTTTGTTTTTAAATATGAGCGTGTCCACTTTAAATTTAAACCAAAGCTTCTTGAACAGGTGTGGGAAGCGTGTGGTATTCTTTTTTATAAATGTCCATTTTCAACATCAAACATAGCATTGGGGTACTGTCACTGTAAAATCTTCAAACTTTGTAAAAATGAATATAATATACAGACATCCAGTCCTGAACATGGCCAGTATGATAATGATGGGATTTCACAACTGCGCCTCACAGTGGAAGTAAAACAATACCCGATTGTGTTTGAAATTGACATGTACAGTTCAGAGCCTTTGAGAAAGCCAAGAAAATATCCATCGCTAGCGGCAGCCAAAGGGCGTGGCCGGGGCGGCTTGGCGAACCACGTTGGTGCTAATCTTTGTCAGAAAAACTGTCACCAATTAATATTTGCAACTGCACAATTACTACAATTAGTACCATGTGATGACGTCATTATCAGATGCGCATGGGGGTCCAATGATGGAAGGCAGTGCAGGTCAGCTAATGCTAACCCTAACCCTACAAACTTGTTTAATCACCTGAAACGACAACGTAAATCTAAAGTACAAGGAAAGCTAGTAAATGCAGACCAAGGCCACAAACACAATTATCATTTATTAATCGCCATATTAAATGCTATCAGTTAAAGGCCACAATTAATATGATTTTTTTTTCCAATTTCGCCCAATTCTAATTGGTACATTATTAGCTAAAGATGCATCAGCCAGACGTCTGAACAGTGTGGATGGCCCCAGTGTGCGAGGGCCGAGATCACTGCTTGCAGTTTTAATTAAAATGACAATACCAGCTTTTGTCAAATGTTAAACACACACACACACACACTTATGACTATGCAAGTAAAAACACTAACATTTTGTAATGTGTGTTTTGAACAAACTTCCTTAAATACGTTTAACCTCCTAAGACCCAAACTCCTGCATTGCATGCATTTTTGTATGCATAATGTGGCGCAGCTCCTAGGAGGTTAAAGCCGTGTGGCGTTGTCTTTATCCAGAATATCTGGAGCCGCCTCTGTTGGTTCTTAACAATCCAAGCCATATTTCTCTGCATCTCGCTCCACGAGCACATTTGTATTCATAGAATACGGAACGGGCTGCAACATATGCTGCGTGCGTTACATTCTCACCTCGGAGCGCAATGTGTGATGACAGACAATTTGCTGGAAATCAGCCTGTGTTGTTTCCATTACCAGCTCCGAGATAATGTGGTTTGTAATGTAAGTTCCCTTTTCTACACCTAGTTTATAGTGAGTGTGTGTGTGTGTGTGTGTGTTTTTTCTAGGTCGATTCATCCCCAGCTGCAATGAAGACGGCTACTACAGGAAGCAGCAGTGTGACAGGGGCGAGTGCTGGTGCGCCGACCAAAACGGAGGCGAAGTGGCCGGGTCTAGGATCCGTGGCAAACCGGATTGCGGTAAGCCTGAAAGATTTCATCAGCTGTCGGTGCACGGACAGAGTTAGACGTCTGTTAGGGAAACGATTTAAAATATCCAACCTGTTTTGGCAGCTTCTTGACTGCAGCCTCATAAGCATTCTGCACAAAGGTTCCCTTTCTACTCGAGCAGCACAGCTTCGTTCAGGGGGACCAGTGCCACATTCATGTGTCCAGAGTCATTTGCATTCTAAAGTGCTGCTTGTCACTGTGAGAAAAGACTTTAAGATAAATGGGGGCCTGGTTGGACTGAACCTGTGCCTGATAAGAATGGCTCCCCTGGCAAGGTTTAGAAACAGCTATTAAAATCCAGACAAAGTCAAACACATGTCCTTGCTTTTTGTCACTGCTGTCAGTTTTTTCTTCGTTCTTTTAAATAAATCTCATTGTTAAAAAAAAAAATCAAGAAAGCCAGGGTGGATAAATTGAATTTCCCTGCATGCTCTCTGGTCCGTTTTTGCAGATTCTGAAATGACATATTCGGGAGATTTTGGCAGCGCTTTCGGATGGGAGGATGAGGAGGAGAAAGAAGCCGAGGAGACCGCAGAGGAGGCCGAGGAGGAGGAGGGAGAGGTGGGGGAAGTGGATGACGGGGGATATATCTGGTGAAGGGTCAGGGTGTAACAAAGCCCCTCTACAGGAGCGTCTCAGTGGCCCCGCAAAACACACACACACACACACACACACACACACAC